CTACGCAAAGCTAACGTGCTGGCAGACGCACTGAGCCGAAAGACGACGAGAAGTTTGGCATGTACTCTTGTTTCCCGCAAGATCAATGAGTTCTCGCCAACATAACCGTGGAGCCTACATTGATTGAAGAAATTAAAGCGCGCCAATAGGAAGATAAACTCTTGAAGAAAAAGTATGAGGAACAAAGAAACACGCTTGATCCTAATTTCATTCTAAGCAATGGGATACTAAAATTTCGGAATCGATACCCGACATCCCAGAACTCAAGAAGAAGATACTGGAGGAAGCTCATAACTCAAGATTTGCAGTCCACCCTGTCAACACAAAGATGTACCATGATCTGAAAGAACACTACTAGTGGGTCGGAATGAAAAGAGATATAATAAGCCATGTTTCCAAATGTCTGCATTGTCAGCGTGTTAAAGCGGAACATCAAAGACCTACAGGACTACTGCAACCACTCCCTATTCCTGAATGGAAATGAGAGCACATTACTATAGACTTCGTGGTCGGGCTACCATAGTCTTTTTCAAAGAATGATGCAATATGGGTTATAATAGACCGATTGATGAAGTCAGTGCATTTTCTACCAATCAAAATCATGTACTCTCTGAATAAGTTTGCCACTTTATACATCAAGGATATTATTTGTTTGCATGGTATCCCAGTTTCGATCATGTCTGACCAAGACCCTCACTTCGTGTCTCACTTCTAGAATAAATTGCAATAAGCTTTGGAAACTACACTGAAGTTTAGCACGACTTATCATCCACAAACCGATGGGCAATCCGAAAGAACAATTCAGACATTGGAAGACATGTTACGTGTATGCGTGTTGGACCTCAAAGGTAACTAGGACGAGCACCTACCTTTAGTAGAATTTGCCTATAACAACAGCTATTAGGTAAGCATTGGAATAGCGCCGTACGAAGCTCTGTATGGAAGGAGATGTCGATCACCTCTATGTTGGACGAAAGTCGAGGACAGGAAATGGTTAGGCCCCGAGATTGTGCAAGTCACAAGTGAAAAAATCCAACTCATCCAACAACGAATTCGCACTGCTCAGAGCTACCAGAAAAGTTATGCAGATACTTGAAGAAGGGACTTGGAATTTCAAGTAGGGGATCATATGTTCCTCAAGATCTCACCAACAAGAGGAGTGATCCGATTCGGGAAGCGGGGAAAGCTAAACCCACGCTATATTGGGCCGTTCGAGATACTGGAAATGATTGGTCCTATAGCCTATCGCCTTGCACTACCTCCTGAACTATCCAATGTCCACAATGTGTTTCATGTTTCAATGCTTCGATGGTACCTCCGAGATCCAGAACATGTCGTCGACTATGAGAACCTGGAAGTTCAAGAAGATCTCTCTTATAAACAACAACCAGTGCAGATTCTCGATCATCGTGATCAGATTCTCTGAAACAAGACCATACCACTGGTAAAGGTCTTATGGCAAAATCATCGTATCGAAGAAGCTACATGGGAAACGGAAAGTCAAATGCAAACCAAATACCCACACCTTTTCGAAAATTAAGGTACATCAAGTTTAGGGACAAACTTCTATTTAGGAGGGGAGAAATGTGATATCCCAAAATATTTAATTAATACCACAACTAACCACGTGTTATGTAAAGTAATTTATCATTGCTGTTATCAAATATGTGACGAGGAAATTTATGTCTAAGTTAATCACTAATTAATGTGAAAAGATTAGCATGTATAAATAAGATTAAACGAATTAAATGCCACACAAATAAGTATAGTTAAAGATAATTATGGTTGCATGTGATGATATATTATTAACTACATAAATAATAATAAATATATAAATCTAGTTCAGCATTAGGTTATCAAAAATGAGATTAATTAGGGATTTTTATTTGGGGCCAATTAACACAAATATGGAATTATGATACCAGTTGGGCCAAATTAGAATTAAAGGTAGTAAATAAATAAATACAATAGTAAAAGTAAATAATAATAATAATAATAATAGTGGGTGTGGTAGTAAAATAAATAATTAATTTTTTGTGGGTATGCAATAAAGTATAATTTAGTTAAGGATTAATTTGTTTATATAGTTACAATAAGAATCTGGGCCCAAAATGTAAATATCTTATATATATAGATAAGTGATAATCTACGTTCTTAATGAAGGAGATCTGAATGAATTATGAAAAACGATTGAGAATCGGCAAGATCGCCACATGTTGGCCATAGGGCGTTTCTACTTCTCTATAAATTGGGAAGAATTGATCAGAAGCCTTAGAGTGACCGAAATCAGTGAGGAAAGAAAAAAAAGAAAGAAAAAAGAAGAAAGGAATAGGAAAGAAAAGAGAGAGGGAGAGGTACGTAAATAAGAAGGTTGTGTTAGTAAAGGAAAGGCTAAGGATCAATATTAAGGAGAGTTATATTATACCTTGAATCACCATAATGTATTTTACGCATGTTTTAACTTACCATAGTTTATTTTATATAAGTTACGTTTTATAAATTATCATAAACTATATTAATATTTCAGTTACGTGGATTATTTTCTGAACTCTATTTGTTAAAAATGAAACGCATGGATATGTTTGTTTAAATTTTAAAGAATATTTGACTATAACTTTACAAACAATTATGTTTTGTAAGTACCACCACAGGAGTTCCACGCCTTGGGGAACTTAAATAACCATTGGTCTCTGTTTGGCCACTTTGTGGTCCTCTGTTTGTCATGGATCCATTGACCTCTGTTCTGACTGTCACTTCTGTGACTTCTGTTCTGTTTTGTTCTGTACCGTGGTTATGGTTATTTATGTACATAATTTTTGTATTTCAGTTTCTGCCACTTAAATGATTTATTTACCAAATTGAGTTATGTAAATGTTTTGACTTAACTAGCTATCCATGGTTATTTTGTATTCCCTGTACTCTTGGCATAATATTTTTCACTCTGCTGTGTGCTTATAGCTGTTATCCTTTCAGGTGACGAGATATAGGGGAAACCCATAACCTCACCAAAATGGAACCCGCACACGGATTGCTGTTGAACCACCTTTCTTTTTATCTTTCTTTCTTTCTTTCCTTTTTTTTTTTTTTTTTTTGTGTTACTCGGGACCGGTCACTGAATAATAAAATAATTAAAGCCCTATAAATGTATTTTATTTTTCTTAAATAGTAAAATGAAGTAAATTTTCTGTTTAATTATTCTTATTTCTGCTTGCACAGTTTAATTTGCTACGAATAGAATAAGTTAGTAAGTTGCGATTCCAACCCTAAGCCCCTGGGGTTGGGTCGTGACAATAGTAGTGCGACGCCCAATCAACACCCATAGCCTAGAACATTAATTGGGTCTACAAGCCACCGAAAAATCATAACTCCCAGCTTTTGGTTCATTAACCATTAGTATGTTTTTCTACAATATTACCCAAGGGACTTTATGTTCACATCATATGTAACATTAAATACAACATTACCCATAATAATATACAAAATGCAAAATAAAATGCCAAGCAATTTATATAATTAATAAAGTCAACAAATTATTTTTTGAGGGCACAAATGCTAACAGACGTTTCTACCACTTAAATTAGTATCGATTGCAACACTTGATCGAAGAGATATCTACATAGGATTTGTGAATGGAAACCATTTCGTGCATGTTTAAACTACCGAGCCTACTTAGATCATTATTATGTCTTATTTTGTAATTCTACCTATTGATGTTTTTGTTGCAAGTTTATCAGCAACCTGGTCGTCTAGTACCTCTGATATCAGATAATCAGATTCATTTTCATCACCCGTGTGCAAGTGGATGGGAGAAAATATATACTACCCGTATTCATCAATTTCGTATGCTTGCTAGTCCTGATGCAGTAACTATCGAAACTATCGATATAAACAAATTGTGATAGTATGTTTGATTGATGGAAGCAAACAATGATAGATTTTATAGATACTTTTATGAATGTTCATACACTTGATGTTTTTATGAATATTTTTATAGATACTTTTTATGGATGCGTGTTTGATTTATGGATTTTTTTATTTTTATTTTATTTTATGGGTGTTTGAAGGAAAAAGTGAATCTTTCAACGTACAGTGATAGGTGGCTAGACAGATTTGGCAACATAACACTAGAGTAATCTAATTTGTATAGTAATGTATTATTGAATAGACACTTTACAAGGGGCCCCAAATTAATTTCTTATTATCATTCAATCGAACAACAACATATTGTTGGGAAAAAAAAGTCTGTCTGGTAATATGGCACTGGATTAATTTAAATTCATTAGCATTGTATTACTGAACAGGCCTGGCACAAATTTAAAAATTATTGTTTGGAAGAAAGTGACTCTGTAAATGTATAGTAACAAAACGTTGAGAAATCTATTTTTTTCGACGACATAACACCGAAGGTTAGCATTGTGTGATCAAACAGGCACTTCGTTGTGAGCTTCACTCACTGTTTTCCTTGCGTCTCTCTCTTTTCCCTTGATGGGCTTTTCTTTGTTCTCTTATTTTCCCTCCAAAAATTGTTAGTGTAAAGAAGTGGAAGAGTTTTGAAGAGTCTTATTTTAGGGTTAGTTTTGGAAATATAATAGGTATAATGAGAATCACATTTTTTTAAGTGGTATAATGAGATGGAAGGTGTAAAAAGGCAAAGTAATGGGTATATAGAATCATTCTAAGAAAAAATAGAGGATTAAACAGTTCACAATATTACATTTTGGGATTTATTGATGTTTCACCCAAAATTCAATCTATCATGAATTTTAAAAATAATAATCAACAAACTATTTTCATAATATTCACTAATTAAGCAAAAACATAACATTAAGCAAATATTGTTCTATTTTAATCCGTCATCATTTTTTGAAACACAAATTTTCAAAATATAAATATGTACATTATTCCACCATTCACTTAAACAAGCATAATATTTAATAAATAAACATATATAATTTAAATTATACAATCCAATTTGATTCAAATTCAGGATGGTGAACCTAAATTGGGAACCACCCCCACTTAGACCGATTCACTAATTTTTCAAATCAAGATTAAACCACGAATTAAAAAAAAAAAAACTAAATGCGACGTGGTTTTTAAAGTAAATCTGAACCGTTGACAAAATTTGTGAGAGAAAGAAGCTAAGAAACCAGAGTCCATCGAACTATAGTATATAGCATATCTCTCCAGGGGCACAGTGAGAATCAAAAGGAGCGCATGATTAGATATTCCTGTCGTCAAACTTTGTCAACTCAATGCAAACCCAAGTGTTGGATTCGCTTCCCTCAATGTGGGTTCTCAACCAACTCAATCCTCATGACCCAACAACAGCACATGTTTTACTCGAGGAGTCGACCGGCTTCGGACTTCGATTCTCATACGTACGCCAGTTTGCTCCAGAATTGTATCATCAATGGCGAACCCACCTACGGAAAGGCCCTCCATTGTGAAATTCTCAAAAAAGGTGGTTGTTTGGACTTGTTTGCATTCAATATCCTCCTCAACGTGTATGTCAAATCGGACCTCTTGTCAGATGCACACAAGTTGTTCGATGAAATGATCGAAAGAAATACCGTTTCTTATGTCACGTTGATTCAGGGTTGTGGGCAATCTCTTCGCTTTTTGGAGGCTGTTGAATTGTTTGTTAGATTACATAGGGAAGGTCATGAACTTAACCCATTTGTTTTCACTACGATTTTGAAGTTGCTTGTGAGTATGGAATGGGCAGAGTTGGGTTGGAGCGTCCACGCATGCTTATATAAGCTTGGTCATGGGTCCAATGCATTTGTTGGCACTGCTCTTGTTGATGCCTACTCGGTTTGTGGACTTGTTGATGCTGCTAGAGAAGCATTTGATGCAATTGTTTACAAGGACATGGTTTCTTGGACTGGGATGGTGGCATGCTATGCAGAAAATGGTTTTTTTGAAGAGGCATTACAACTGTTTTCTCAGATGAGGATGGTGGGATTGAAACCAAACAATTTTACCCTCGTGAGTGTGTTTAAGGTCTGTCTTGGCCTGGAGGAGGTTGATTTAGGGAGAAGTGTTCATGCGTGTGCTTTAAAAACGTGTTATGAGATGGATCCTTACGTGGGCGCTTCTCTGCTTGACTTGTACACTAAATCTGGAGATATTGAGGATGCTCAGCAAGTATTTGAAGAGATTCCTAAAAATGATGTGATTCCTTGGAGTTTCATGATTGCACGGTACTCTCAGAGTGACCGCAGCAAAGAGGCTGTCAAACTATTTTGTCGAATGAGGCAAACTTTAGTTATTCCTAATCAATTTACTTTTGCTAGTTTGCTGCAAGCATGCGCAACTATGGAATGTTTAGACTTGGGGAAGCAAATCCACTGCCACATCCTGAAGGTTGGTCTTGACTCGAATGTATTTGTTTCAAATGCCCTTATGGATGTGTATGCCAAATGTGGAAATATGGAGAATTCAGTGGAACTATTTGTGGAGTTGACAAATAGAAATGATGTGACTTGGAATACAATGATTGTTGGCTATGTGCAATTGGGAGATGGGGAGAAAGCATTGAATCTGTTTCTACATATGCTTGAAGACCAAGTGCAGGCAACCGAGGTGACATACTCTAGTGTTCTTCGTGCTTGTGCTGGCTTAGCAGCCTTGGAGCCAGGTACTCAAATTCATTCTTTCGCTATTAAAACCATATACGACAAAGATATAGCAGTTGGCAATGCTTTAATAGACATGTATGCCAAGTGTGGGAGCATTAAGGATGCTCGTTTAGTGTTTGAAATGATGAGAAAACGAGACGTAGTATCATGGAATGCTATGATCTCAGGGTATTCCATGCATGGTCTGGGTGGTGAGGCTCTGAGGATTTTTGAGAAGATGCAGAAAACAGAGATTAAACCTAACAAGTTGACATTCGTTGGCGTTCTTTCAGCTTGTAGCAACACGGGCTTGTTGGATAAAGGTCAAGCCTATTTCACTTCCATGGTACGTGACCACGATATTGACCCCTGTGTTGAACATTACACTTGCATGGTAGGCCTTTTAGGGCGATTAGGCCATCTTGACAGGGCTGTTAAGCTGATTGAGGAAATGCCTTTTGAGCCTAGTGTCATGGTTTGGCGTGCTTTGCTTGGGGCTTGCGTTATTCACAATGATGTTGAGCTTGGAAGAATATCCGCCCTGCATGTGCTTGAGATGGAACCCCAAGATGAGGCAACCCATGTGTTAATGTCAAATATGTATGCCACTGCAAGAAGATGGGATAATGTAGCTTCGGTTAGGAAAAACATGAAGAGAAAAGGAGTAAAGAAAGAACCAGGCCTAAGTTGGATTGAGAACCAAGGCATAGTTCATTATTTCACTGTAGGGGATGCGTCACACCCTGACATTAGATTAATTTATGGAATGCTGGAGTGGTTGAACATGAAAGCCAATAAGGCAGGTTATGTTCCTAATTGTAATGTTATATTACTCGATGTTGATGATGATGAAAAATCACGCCTTCTGTGGGCGCACAGTGAAAGATTAGCTTTAGCCTTTGGGCTTATTAGGACACCATTTGGAAGCCCTATTCGTATCATGAAAAATCTCCGCATATGCGTGGACTGCCATGCTGCAATTAAGTGTATATCAAAGGTTGTGCAGCGGGAGATAGTTATAAGAGATATTAATCGATTTCATCACTTCCAAGATGGAACTTGCTCCTGTGGTGATTACTGGTGATATGCGTTAATGATTACACCATGCATGGTTGGGTGTTCAATGCCCACTAACATGACTCAGTTAAGAATTTTGTAACATGATTTTGAAGTGGATAGCCTGGTTATCCTAACATATTGGTGATAGCCTAACACCAAGGTTTCAAAAAGTGGCATTACGTAATGGTTTCAGCAGCCATCGCAACATGTTATACCGGCTGTAGCTGTGATGGAAAGTCATGTACGTAACAGCACTTCAGCATCTTGAACACATTCTGATGCAATTATTGGTCTGCATCTTTGCTCAATTCCGAAGCAATTGTGGTAGAAGATTATGGAGTATATCTGAAAATTGGAGAGCTAAATCTTATAGAGCCAAAAAAAGCCACAGCATTCGAACTATTCAAACAATGTAATATTTCCTCGTAGCGTAATACATTTTGGGCAAGGTGCTTCGGTATGATTAACTACTTTGAGAACACAAATAGCTCGAGGTCCTTCGGTTTGATCAACTACTTTGAAATATATGTATTATTCTTCAAAATCCAGCTCAAGGTGCTTTGGTATGATCAACTACTTTGAAATATATGTATCATTCTTCAAAATCCTCATGATATCTCAGTAACCCTTTCGCACATGACCTACTTCGAATTGGTTTTCGGCAAGATATCTCATAGAATTCTTGTTTTTGAGTGGTCAATTTTTTGCAATATTCACTAAGGAAAATTTACGGTCCTAATAGGTAGATTTATTATAGGTCTTATAAAAATTAATGACATTTTTCATTAAAAAACTATTAAAAAACGTCACTAATTATTAATTTTCAGCGACAGTTTGAAAATTGTCACAAAAAATGTCACTAATCATAAATTTTAGTGACAGTTTAAAAAAATCGTCACAAAAATAGTCACTAATTTTTAACTTTCAGCGACAATTTGAAAAATTCGGCACAGAGAAACGATACTAATTATAAGTTTTAGCGATAATTTATAAAAATCATGACAAAAAATTTCACTAATTGTCAATTTTTAACGACATGTAAAAAGTTGTCACAAAAAATTATTTTTAGCGATAATTTTATTAAAACTTATTTGCAATAGAATTTGATGAGAATTAAATCTAACTATTAAGGCCTATTGATAATTTATTTATAAATCATACCATATATGCTAGTCTTGGCAAATGTGCATTTTGTATTGCACTTCGGGAAAATGTAATACAGCGTAATATTTTTGCTAGTATGTACTTGTATGTATGTATTTTTTATTTTTGAATGCATGAAGAAATAGTGTGTGATTTTTTATTTGATTAATGGATGAATTTCAAATATCACTGCCCTTTGTGGTTTTTTTATTTTTTTATTTCACGCTTATAAAACTTGACAATTGACACGGTATGTTGTGTTTTTTGAGTCTGGATCCTCTTCGGCCTTTCCTTCCAGCTCTTCCTCCAGTTGATGGACAAGATTCGGCCATATCAGCCATAACAAAACCTACAGTTGAGATTAACTATAAATAAATAAATAAAAAGTTGAATTCATTCCACACACAGCATTCTGACACTCTCTGTCCCATCCACCACTCACACACACACTATCTCTCTCTCTCCCCCCTAATAAAAAATTTAAAAAATTATTTTAATCTTTTTAATTTTATTTTCATAATATATATAATTTTTAATATAAAATTTTAATTTTATAAAATTAATATCATTAAAAATATATCTTTAAAATGAGACTAATATTAAATATATTTAATAAAAAATTAAAATAAATAAAAAATAATTACTATGTTTAATTATGTTTTGAAATTATTATTTGTTAAATATAAAAATTAATTTGATGAAATAAACACATAAAAATCATATATTTTTGAAATTTTCAAAAATAATCTTCATTCATGAAAATAAAAAAAATTATTTATGAAAATAAAAAAAATCATATGAAAATAAATGTATGGTTTAAAAAAATCATATGAAAATATTTTTTTTAAAAAAAAATCATATAAAAATTAATTTGATGAAATAAACACATAAAAATCATATATTTTTGCAATTTTCAAAAATAATTTTCATCCATGAAAATAAAAAAAATTATTTATGAAAATAAAAAAAATCATATGAAAATAAATGTATGGTTTAAAAAAATCATATGAAAATATTTTTTTTTAATTTTTTATTAAATATATTTAATATTAGTCTCATTTTAAAGGTATATTTTTAATGATATTAATTTTATAAAATTAAAATTTTATATTAAAAATTATATTTATTATGAAAATAAAATTAAAAATATTAAAATAGTTTTTTTAATTTTTTATTAGAAGAGAGAGAGAGAGAGAGAGAGAGAGAGAGAGAGAGAGAGAGAGAGAGAGAGTGTGTGTGTGTGTGTGTGTGTGTGTGTGTATGTGTGTGTGTGTGAGTGAGTGGTGGACGGGACAGAGAGTGTCAGAATGCTGTGTGTGGAATGAATTCAATTTTTTTTTTTTTTTTATAGTTAATTTCAACCACAGGTTTTGTTATGGCTGACGTGGCTTAATCTTGTCTGTTGACCAGAAGAAGAGCCGGAAGGAAAGGCTGGAGAGGATCCAGACTCGTGATTTTTTAGATGACTTCAAAGTTGGTTTGAAGTCCTGTCACTGAGTGTGACAACCCTCACTACTGTTTATTGATAATATCACTGATTACTGCTAAACTGAGACAGATCATGATAAGTAACTGAATCGATTGAAACTCTGAGTTAATTGATTGAGTGTGGTAGTTTAAGTGCATGTTTATCTGTTTGACTGTTAAATTATCTGTTCATGTATTATGTTTAAATTGTAAATTGAAGGTCTTATCGGCGGCCGAATCTGAAATTGATTAATGTTTTATGTTAATTGGAATTTATGTGATTTTATGGTATATTTAATTAAAATTTGATTTGGTTTGGGTAAATTAGATTAATTATTGATAAATTACATTAGTTGGCTTATTTACCCTTTTGCATTAAGTGGCCATCCCTACAACTTTGACTTGGGCTCAATTGTTGCATTACAAACACCATCTCACCCTTTTCCATCTAGAGCTAGCTGACTAGAGAGAGAGATAGGAGATAGAGTGAGTTCATCTTGTTTTGGCTTGGAGATTAAGAGATTTGAAGGCAAATTGCATATTTGAGCTTCTACATTTGAAATTGGGAACCTAGGTAAGGATTTCATCCTTTTAATTGTGAAATCAAGTTGGTTCTTGCATGGCTCATGGTGATTTAGTCATCTAAGTCTAGAATTGGTCTACATTGTTGAATTGAAGCTTGTATCATGCATGCATGTGCATCTCTTGAAGTTTAGAGTTGTTTTCATGGAAATTATTGCATGCATGTTCATATTTGGGTTATAGTCCATGAATTCATCATGTTTGGGAGTAATTTAACTCATTTGATCTTGCTTTGGATGCTTTGAAGTTGATTAAATTCATGCATGTTGCATGCTCATCATGTTCTTGAAGTTTTGATGAAATTGTGTTTTAATTGACTCACCCTTGGGCTTTGATTTTACAAATTGATCTTTAAAACATGTTATATTATGGGTTAAAGTGTTTTTCCAGAAAATGGGCCCAAGAGGTTGAGTTTTGATGCATTAGAGTTGAGTTTTGAGCTTGAGGTTCAAATCTGGAAATTCCAGATTTTGGACTCACGCTTGAGTGAGGAACTCCACGCTCGAGCGTACGCTTTGTGTTCATGCAGTCCGCTCGAGCGAGGAAAGTGGTGCTCGAGCGTGAAATGCGTGTATCCAGTACTTTGCATGTGTTTACAGTTCGCTCGAACGAGAGAGTTCACGCTCGAGCGAGGACTTGTGTCTCACGCTTGAGCGTGAATCGAGCACCCGTCGAACATGATTTTTGTGCATCTAGTATTTTTACTGTAGCTTACAGTCCGCTCGAGCGACGGAAGTCACGCTCAAGCGGAGCTCCTTTGTTTGCATGTCCGCTCGAGCGTAGAAAGTCACGCTCGAGCGGAGCTCCTTTGTCTGCATATTCGCTCGAGCGTAGAAAGCCACGCTCAAGCGAGACCCCTGTTTTCTGAAAATTCTGAAAAGTGTTTTAAAGTGCATCTTTGCATCCTCTTTCCATCCTAGGCATTCCTAGGCCTAGTTTAAGGCATCTTAATGAGGATATTAATGTAGAACCACACCGAGGCAAATTAGGGATTAAGTTATTATTTCTCAACTGTGTAGCTTAGTGTGTGTTCGTTTTGTAACTGTGTAGGGTTGGCATCCGAGGACGCGTATTAGCTTATCTGTAGCCCAGAACTCTGTGAGTAACAATGTTGCAAAGATATGTTCAATTGAGATTATTTTCTGAACAAACGACTGTACTGCTTTATGAAATGACACTATTTACTGAATGAATGTTTGTCCTATTTGTGAACTGTATTCGTGGCATCCATAGCAATTTATTGTTATTGAACTGTTACTGCTACTGTTACAGAGATCTCTGTCGGTTCCCATGTTTGGAACCACTACTGTTTACTGATATGATGGCCATCATTGAGTGCTCGGTCTGTTAAGACCTGCTGTACTGTTTTGCTATTGGATGTACCACATATGACTATTATAATTTCTGAATGACTGTTATGGCATGAATTATGAGCCACAAACTGAATGATTGATATACTGATACGCGACTGTTTTCAATACTGAAAGGACATTCATTCTTAACCTCTTTACGCATATGTTATTCACCGGGCTTTAGCTTACTATTTATATATATATATGTAGGTGTTCAGGCACTGGACCGGAGTTAGGAGCGTCAGATTAGCTTCCTTTTTGTCAAGCCAACTAACGTGCCTCACTGCGAGGTTCCTAGTGTTACCAAGCTAAGGCTGCTTCGGGATGTTTTAGATTCCCCCTTTCTGTATCTGTTTGTATCGACTGTATAGACTATTACTGTACTGTTATGGTAGGGACTTGGTCCCTAACCTGTATGATTGTATATGAATGTATATGTACTGTTTTTGTGGATATGTATGAAAAATCTTTTTGCATACAGACTGTCACAGCTCATTGGACATCTTTAATTACTGTTTTGGCTTTCGCCAGCCCCTGTACTCTGTATTATTGTTATTACTGTTAAGCAGGCCTTCGGTAATCTCAGATTACTGGCCGGTTACGGTGCTAAACCCATAGGGGCGGGTTTGGGTCGTGACACTGAGATAATAGTCGGGAAAAAAAATGCTTGTTTTGACAATTTTGAAAATTTTTTATCCAAAAATCCTTGATCCAAACAAATATGCTTCATCCAAAAATGCTTCTAACAATTTTTCCTTCTTAATTATTTATTTATAAACTAAATTAAATTTAAAGAAATATCATTACTATAAAAAAAATATTAGTAAAACAAATTTGTTTCATTATTATAAGATCATTAATAAAACAAATTGAACATCATTACTGAAAGAATAATAATTAAGAAAAAAAATTAAGA